TGGAGTGAATGAGGCCCCCCAGCCAGGAGCCAGCTACCAGCATGTGACACACTTGATGACTCATGATGTTCATATAATGGAGAGGTTTGCAGATGGCCACATAGCGATCATAGGCCATCACCACAAGCAGAAGAATCTCAGCAACCCCCAAAAGGTGGAAGAAGAATATCTGAGCCAGGCAGCCCTTCAGAGAGATGGTTTTAATCTTTACAAGTAGGTCAGTGATGAACTTAGGGACAACAGTAGAGGAGTAGCAGATCTCCACCAGGGACAAGGAGCTGAGGAAGATGTACATGGGGGAACGCAGAGTCTTACTGATGTTGACTGTCACAACAATGAGGCCATTGCCCAGCACTGTGGCCAGGTACACGGGAAGGAACAGTACAAAGCACACCTTTTGCACCTTTGGATCCTGGAAAAGGCCAGTGATGATCAGTTCAGTCACGTTATTTGTCTTCGCCATGGCTTCAGTTCAGGTGTGCTGGATGTTATAAAATTCTGTTGAAAAAAAAATTTTAACACAAATTCATGACATATATAGTATGGCAGATAATGTAAAACAATTTACAATATGTATATCATTTATTCAGTCAATAAATACTAGTTATGTGTATATTCAAGGTATAACATTTTTTATTATTTTAATTTGTTTACTTTGTAACTAGAAAATGAATATTCAGAAAAACTTATTTGACCATAATAACAGAAGAAGTAGAGAATTCTAGGGCTCACAACCACTCTATCAGGCTTTCACTCTGGGATCCTTGTCATTTACAGTGCAGTCTGTATTGGAGAGTCATTTGAGTTAGGAGCCTATTTAGAGGTCTAACCTTCAGAGCACTCCTGTGCTCTGAAGTAAGCTCCTCTTACCTGTGAAGAAATCAAATTCCCATTCAATTGTGGGATGATCCTCCTTGGTGATTCTAAATCTGAAACTCACAGAATCCAACAACATAAAAGAACTTTTAAAATAATTAATTTTATGCTGTATTTTTCATTGGATAAAAATTGCTAATTTAATTAGGTCTGCCACACCTAAATTCATCAAATGCAACCATTCTATAAAAGTGAGCCTTTGTAGGTCTAAGAGGAAAATGAGGGTGTCCAACACACAAAGGCTAAGAAACTCTGTATCTTATTTCTAGTCACTTTACCTTGCTGTAGATCAGAAGGGATGCTGTGTTCTTTATCTTCAATGAGGAGTCAGATTTTAAGTAAACTCAAATTGTCTCCAACCCAATATGAAGTGCATCCCTGCTTAAATACAACACGAGTCAAGTAGAAGTTACAAGGAATAGTTTATGAGTCCTGGTCCTTGAGCAAGCAAGGTCCTTTAAATCTCACGACCCAACAGATTCATCATTGAACACCCAGTGAGCCAAGTACCGGTCTTCCTCAGCTACTATGTTAGAATAATGTGAAGTGGATTTAAAGGGATATCTCCTAAATTTTTCTGCTCATAGATGAAATGACAATGGCTGGGAGAGGAGACCTGGCTTCCCAAAATCACCTTCAAATAATTTTTCCATGTACTAAATCAGGAATAGTAGTCTCAATAGCATTGAATTTTCTGACTTTACTGGGTGGTGGTTGTCATTGCAATTCAAGGACTTCACTTTCTCTCCAAGAAAAAAAAATCATCACTAGTCTTAGTACCTATTAGAAAGAAATGTAACTGATACCTAAAGCTAATTACAAAATAAAGAGGAAACTCAGAAAGCTACATGAAGTTGAACATTTGAATGTAAAAATTAATTGCAGGCATAAGAAGCAGCAAAGAGAAATCTTACAATTTTTCTTTTGACAAGAAAATCTACCCACTCATTCTTTATCCAAAGGTGTGACTACACACCGAGGTCCTTGAATTCTTTATAATAAACTAACTCACAGGCTATAATCATGGAACAAATGTCCCCCATGGATTTTCTTTTCTCCAGAGGGAAACTTTGTGATTAAACTGGAACAAAAAGAAAAGGTTTAAAATTAATCTCAAGTACTTCAGTGACTTTTACATGAAGCTCTTTAAAATTAGGAAGGCAAAGACAAAAGATGAGAATCAGGCACGTAGGACTCATTTTACCCAGGTTTGTCTACTGAAAATAAATTTACGAGATAGTAGAGAAGAGAGACAGGACAGGAAGCCAGGACCTGAACACTAACACGTGTTTAGCAGAAAATTAACTATTTGCTTATAACCACCCCATTTACCTCCCACTTCTCACTGCTCCCTTTCTACTCCTATATAAAATAACAGCTAGGCTATATGGGCTACACTGAATTTCTAATTCTCATATTTATGTGCCATGTTTATATTTGAAAAATCACTTCAAAAAATCACCTCAGTTGCCATAAATCTCATTGCTCCCTCGATGATGATAGTGGTCGTGATCATGAAAGATGGGGACAACTTCCTCTGGAGAAATTACCAGTCACCCTTTCACTCTTTCATTCACTTACTCAACAAATACTAGTGAATACTACAAAGCACCAAGAACTAATTTAAGGCTAGGTTTAAGAGGCACAAAATGAAACTCTCTGGACATGTGAGACTTAAATTTTCTCTATTTCTCTATTCTAAAATGAAGGTTATACCTTCATTTTATAGAGTGGGAGGGTGATCAAAAAAGAGCAATAAAAGCAAATATAAGTAATGATTTTTGTAACATGTAAGTCAAGGATTTACGAGAACCATAAAATTTTTATACCTTTGTCATGCTCTTCTGTCTTTTATTATTGTGTTCTTATATTTACATATATATAATATATGTGTACTGTTATATATAAGACAGTGTGTAATAAGTCTGAAGCTATAACATATTTAAGATTTTCCCCCAATATAGCAGTCATGAGGTTGTGTTCAGAGTACCCACTGATCTAATTTTAAGTTTTGTTTTGTGTTGTTTGGTTTTTGTTTCTGTTTCTATTTTTAGTTTTGGTTTTCAAGACATGGTTTCTCTGTGTGGCTCTGGCTGGCCTGTAATTTGCTCTGTAGACTACGCTGGTCTTGAACTCAAAGATTCACCGGCTTCTGCCTCCCAGTACTGGGATGAAAGGTGTGTGGCACCATGCCCAACTTCACTGTTCTAATTTCTATCATCTGGAGTTCCGATAAATGGAAGCTTGAACATGCACTCTTCTGTATTAGTCATTCTGCTATGAATTACAATAATTAGAGGTCACATATACAATGTATAGGTATGTAGTGTGTGTGTGTGTGTGTGTGTATGATTGTGTATACCCATGTGTGAGGATGGCTGCACATGCATGTATATGTACATGTGGAGAAGCCTGAAATCAAATTCAGGTATTTCTAAATCACTTATCCACTTGATCTTTTTATTTCAACAAAGCCTCTCACTGAACCCAGAGCTCATCAGTTCAGCTAGGCTTTCTTGCTAGCAAGGCCCAAGGATTCTCTTATCTCGGCCTTGCGCCCTACCTCCAAGTACTGTGCTGGGATTCAGACATGCATATAACCAAATGAGCCATCTCTCCAGCCCAATACTTCATTTTTTATATGGTGAGGGATATCCTATTGCATGAATTCATCATAATTATATACTTTTGTCACTAGGTGTTGAATTGGCTTCATTTTGGCTATTATAAGAAAAATCTTCAAGAAACATTTTAAAATATAGGCATAAACAGATAAAACCACTTACTCATTTCACATGAAAATATAAAGTCATGTTTCTAATTCTAAATGAGAAAGCACTAGTATCACTGAATTTCAATTTTTTACTGTAAATATTCAACAAAGACAGATTCCTACAACAAGCACTCCTGGACACACATGTGTTTTAAAACCACCTTCCTGGTGCTAGGAAGATGGGTCAGCAGTTAGAGGTACTTGTAGCTGTTGCAGAGGACCTGGGTTTGATTCTTAGCACCCACATTGTGGTTCACAAACAACTGTAACTCCAGTTATGGGGATCTGATGTCCTCTTCTGGCCTCCACGGGCACAGACATACATGCAGACAAACACCCACACATATACATTTTAAAAATCAAAATTAAAAGAATTCTACCTTCCTTAGACTTATTAAACAGAAACTTATAATATAGAAAATATTGAGTCTGACAGACCTTCACAGAAACTCAAATCCGTAGAAACACATTAGATGATATGTACAGGTTTTCCTTAACTATTGAATGTTTTGATGCAATTATTCACTAATCTTTCCTGCATTCCTCTCTATATACAGTGCAATATTTGATTTTGTGTTTGCATATGTAAAAGTAATTATTTCAAAACATTTCTTCAATCTTGATATCTCATAGTCTTCTTATCAATTATTTATAAAACTTAAAATACTTCGTTTATTCTCACTTGATATTTTTACCCTTTCAGAGATTTTATTAGCTCAGTTTTGGACTCAGAAAACTTAGGAAAATAAAGCCTTTTTCTATATGTTACCTATCCCAGTACCTGTGTGTTCACATCCCCCACTAGTAAAATCTCTCACCAGACACATCATTGTCACCCAAAGTCTATAATGTATGTTAGTCTAGTCTAGCTGGTGCACAGTCTGTAGGCTTGTACATACATAAATGTATGATGACATACAACCATCATAATAGCATATTTTCACTACCCTAAAAATCTTCTGTGTTCACCAAACATGGTGGCATTCACCCTTAATCCCAGTACTCAGGAGATAGAGGCAGGTGGATCTCTGAGTTCAAGACCAGCCTTATCTACATAGATTTCTAGGCTTGGCAGGGTTACATAGTGAGACAGTTTTTGGGTTTTTTAAATCTTGTTACAGGAACCTTAAAACACAAGCAGGTATGGTCAAAAAGCTGTGTAATGAAATGTCATGCATTCATCACCCAACTTAAATGATTGTCCATTCAGGGATTTTTTTAAAAAATAAATAGTAGGGCATTACAACAAGTCTGTGGAGCCCTTTAGTTATAATATACAGGAGCATCCTATACACTGTAGGATACTTAATGAATCTCTGACCTTGTGTCTTCTTAATGTCAGTGGCACTCTCTTCCCTGGCCAGACTGGTCAAAAATCTTTAAACATTATCAAATGCCTTGTACAGGCATAATCACCCCTCAGTTGAAAGCTACTGATGTATACATCTAATTCAGCACAAGTAGTATCATCCCTTCTGTGATTCCGAAATCCCTGAACCACCTTTAATCATCTCTGATCAGTGGGTGAGTTTCATTGTTTCACATTTCTCACTGGTTTCTAAAGTTTTTTTTCCCCACGGAGACTTTAGGGTCCTACTTCCAGTAAGACATTTTTTTCCTAATTAGGAAGGGGTGAGTATGAAGATCTCCAAGGACTCCCCATTTCTCACTTAATCATGACTTCTCCCCTGGCTTTTCTTGGAGTGACTTAAAGCTGAGCTTCCTGAGTTCTTAGTTTTCTGAGGAACATCTGAGAGGCAAATTTGTTTTGCTTTTATTTTAAATTCATGAGAAGTTGAGGCTGAGGATCTCCA